TGGATTTATGAGTTACATCCTGAGATAAAAATGTTCAGTCTCTCAGAGTCTTTGAAAGCGAGACTTGAGTCTCCGTCTCTCATCGAGTCTCTCTGGTTCTGGTGTCGCTGAGAGAGACTGTCAAAAAAACTGTTTAGCGTCTCTGAACGAGAGACTCGAGTCGCTCATAAAGAAATCCTCATTTCGTATCTATTCTCTGAACGAGATACCCGAATTTCTGAACGAGAGACTCGAATCTCTGAACGAGAGACTCGAATCTCTGAACGAGAGACCCGAATCTCTGAACGAGAGACTCGAATCTCCGAACGAGAGACCCGAATCTCTGAATGAGAAGACCCGAATCTCTGAACGAGAGACTCGAATCTCCGAACGAGAGACCCGAATATCTGAATGAGAAGACCCGAATCTCTGAACGAGAGACTCGAATCTCCGAACGAGAGACTCGAATCTCTGAACGAGAGACCCGAATCTCTGAATGAGAGACCCGAATCTCTGAACGAGAGACTTGAATCTCTGAATTAACAATTTTATCATTCGAGTCCCTCATACAGAGACTGTGAGAGATCCATAAAAACACCTAGGCAATAACTGAGAGATTGTGAGAGACCCTCTCAGAGACGCTGAAAGTCTCTGAGAGACTGAAAATTTTTGTCTAGGGATTATTTCAAGCAATTTTAATACGAGGTCTGCTCAAAAAGTATCGCGAATTTTGAATTTCCGTGGATTACGCATATTCGATTTTCGATTTTTTGTGGCTTTATGTTGGTACTCATGTCTCTCACTTATACTCAAGTTATAAGTTCGACCCATGTTCAATGTTCAATTAATTTTTGACAGCTGCTTTGCTCGCACGTGTTTTGGCTCGTCTTCGATTTTTGCCTATTACAAAAAATTGATCAAAGGATCTGTATCAAATTTTGTGTGAAAAACAAAATTAAGTGAGCGGACGCATTCCGAATGTTAACTGTGACATATGGTGAAGAAGTTGACCATGGAAGCAACGTTTATCGCTGGTATAAAATGTTCTCAACAGGCCGAAAAGATGTGAACGACGAAGAGCGTGCCGGACGTCCGAGCACGTCAACAACAGACGAAAAGATTGATGAAGTGAAGAAAATGGTATTGGCCAATCGTTGAATCACACTTAGAGAAATTGCTAAGGACCTAAACATATCGATTTTTACCAATGATTTGGGCATGAGATGGGTCGCCTGGAAATTCATACCAAAATTGTTCAATTTCTACCAAAAATAGCATCGCATTAACATTGCTAAGGAGCTGTTGGACTCTGTCCGCGACGATCTAAAATTGTTACAGAGGGTCATAACTGGTGACGAATCATGGGTTTATGGTTTTGACGTAGAAAACAAAGCTCGTGCATTCTTTTCTTGGAACAATACTACTAAAACTATCTCAAAATAAAAATTTGAGGTTGGAATTAGTACACAAACCAATTTTTTCTCTTCGGGTGAGTCGGTTTGTGTTGATATGTATTGTAACACAGGCTTGTTGAAAAGCGCATACATGTACCTAGATAAATGTTGACATTCTTTCTCGCTGGAAAACTTCCAGTATGTGAAGTTTTCGCACAAAGTATAGAACGATACCGTCGATTAACATATTGTATTCTGTGAACTCTTTTCGGCGCCAACTACGACACTCATTACTTTTGAATAACAAACAATCTTTTTTTCTCATAGCTTACGGATTACTAATTGGCCTCATTGTAGAAGTTCATGCTCCACACTTGTTCTTGCCGATGGACAAGATAACGTGAATACGAAATCAGTTGTTGACTGAAACGAGCGAGTACGGTCTTGGCATATTGTACTACTAATTAGGTTTTTAAATTATGAAAGTTTTTAAAATTAATTTTAGATGAGGACTCTGAGAACTGGGAAACTTTGACCAGATTTCAAAACTATTATCGGAAAATTACATGTCCTTTCAAAGGTTTTCGAAATTTTTATAAGAAGTTTATGTCTACAAATTAAACTATGCATATGTATAATTTACGTATCACGATTTTGCAATTTCAGCGATAGGTCACAAGCAAGGTTGTCTCACGGTTGTGGCCTACTGTTAATTTTCAGTTTGAGTAGGAAACATATCAAAACTACCCAAATATTAACGTCAATTGCGCTACAAGATTTACTGATTTTGACGTTTCGTGTATTTACAATTACTATAAATTGGTAGAGAGGCAAACTTTTTAGAAGTGCACATTTTAAAAGATTTGGAGGTTAATAACAAAATTTAGGGACCGTTACTTAGAAAGCTAAAAAATATCGAACGCTATTAATGCATGAAAAACATTCTCTATACATGTCGAAACGCAACTTTACATATTACAAAAGTACCTACCTTACTAGGTAAGTTTTGGTTAATGTTAGAATACCAAAATGTAAATTACTTCATCATCATAAGGCCCAGTTCTAAGACTGGCTGAACATGCATCTACACTTCTTCCTATCCTGAGCTAATCTTTGCATTTCCTTAAAACTAGAACCACATCCTTAACTATTTGCGAACAGTAATCTAATCTAGGACTACCTCTGCTCCTCGTAACTCTTGTTTCTACCTTTTATATACCCTAGACAAAAATTTTCAGTCTCTCTTCAGTCTCTCAGATTTTTTCAGCGTCTCTTTGGTGTTTTTATGTGTCTTTATCGATCTCTCACAGTCTCTGTATGAGAGACTCGGACGATAAAATTGTTAATTCAGAGATTCGAGTCTCTCACAGAGAGACTGAATGAATAAAACTAAAAAATTGAAAGACTCGAGTCTCTCGTAGAAAGACTGCGATCCCTGAAATATGTTGAACTTAGAAAATTTTAACCATGTCTATCGAGACACCACTTATTGAGAGATTCGAACTTCTCGTTCAGACATTCGAGTGCCTCGTTCAGAGACTGGATAAGAAATGAGGATCTCTCTATGAGCGACTCGAGTCTCTCGTTCAGAGACGCTAAACAGTTTTTTTGACAGTCTCTCTCAGCGACACCAGAGAGACTCGATGAAAGACGGAGACTCGAGTCTCGCTTTTAGAGACTCTGAGAGACTGAACATTTTTATCTCGGGTATCTCTGACTAGACCTTTATGCCTGAGAAGGTGTCTTACCAACTTATCTCGTCCATTCTTTACTGACTTCCATAGAGTCTTGGTCTCCTATTCTTTCTAATACCTCTTCATTTCTAACCTTCTCTATCCACGATATCCTCATCATTCGTCGGTAACACCACATTTCGAACGCTTCTAACCTCTTCTTTTTCGACGCATACAGCGCTGGGCTCCAGACATACAACGTTAATAATCTTTTTCTAATTTCTAAATTAATCGTTCGCGAGCATAGAAGTGACTTCTTTTTATTGAAGGCGACTCGACCGTGCGCTATCTTCTCTTTATATCCCTATTACTTCTTCCGGCCTGACTTATCTAATTTGCTAGTTACCTGAAATCAGCCATTTTTTCTAAATTTTCGTCTCCTACCTTTATATTCGCTCTTTCCCTACTTTTTCTACCCTTGCATATCAGTATTTTTGTTTCACTTCTATTTATTTTTATACAATACTGTTTTGACAATAGGAAATGGAAAAGGAAAATCTCACGGATGATGAAAATACTATGGGCATAAAAGATTAGAAATGAGTAGGAGTATAAATAGCGCTATAGAAGCGAATAGGCAAAAGAAGAGATGAATTGTATGATATTTTCTGAGATATGAAGGGCTAGTTAGATATATATGTATGTATTACGTAGAAGCAGAACCAAGTATAAAATGGCAAAGGAAGTAAGACTACTATCAGTGAATGTGATGTAGGAAGTTTTTGGAAAATGTGAAGACGGATGAATGTAAGGAAGAAGTATGGATTTACGACCTTATGATGATGTTACTGTAAGATACTCAGTCCCATGTCTTCAGTTTCGTTATTGTATAAAGATTTCTAACTCGACAGTTTTTATCGTATTTTGACTATACTGTCGTTCGACGTACTGAAAAATAAGTTTTAATTTAATCACCATAAGGATATACACACGAAAGTCACTAAATGGCACGAAAGACGATGAGCAAATTACCGATTTATTTGCTGCATTCAAAATAACGGTTCAAAAAGCAGTTAAAAAGGATTTCAGCTTTCATCAGTTAGTTGATTAACGTGTTTTAATCTTCGTAACGCTTTTGTTACAGTGGATAACTATCACGGAGCGCACACCATGCGACAGGAAGGTGAAGCAATTTAAGTTTCCAGAAATAATGCGCCGATAAACTTTTAATTGAAGAATATGAAAACGGTATAACGTATTGCCTCATATATAAGGCGGTAATAGAGACCAGAAAAAACTCTTGGTGTATATACCTTATTGGAGCAGTAATTTAGACAAGGTATTGGCTGCTATGCTGTAACGAGAACAAGCCACATTCCAACAAAAAATATATAATAATTAATCCAACAGGAATAAACGAATGCATCATAAACTTTAGAGTCCAAATCTTGGGTGATTCCGAATGAATAAGATTTTCTAAAAATATTCATACTGTTACTTTTAAGAGACTAGGGAAACTAATAAAATAATTCGATGTGGTCTGTCTTCTGACGAAATGGACCTTGTTGAGAATACGCAATCCGAAAATGTAGCACTGTACTACAGATGGCGTTTACCGCGCCATTTGTGGTATTTTATAGGGAAACTACTAGGGGTTCCCAATGGCTCTCTACACGCGATTTTATTCAAACCATTCGTTCTCGAACTTTAAGAAAAGTGGACAATGCCACGATGAATTTTTCCAAGTGACCTAAGTGACTATCATACAGTTTTCTTTTGGTTTTACTAATACCTACGAAAATTTTTATTTTCTTTTCGATGTGTGCAATTGATTTTTAAATGACAGGATTCAGTCAACGGGAAGGTGCATTTGAATAATTTTATATTTTAAGAAGAAAAAGGCCTTCATTTTCATGTGTTTTTCAACTTTTGTCAAATAATATGAAAATCCTACCTTATAACGCGATAATCCTCACGAACGTAGTTGTACGTGTTGACTCTGCTGTTGTAGTGGACCTGCAACAAAAATAAAAAAATAAATTAAGCGCTTAAATGTGACATAACACAATTCGGAATTTGGCTAGAGAAAATATAATGTTATCAATCTCTTGATCTACTCCTAATAAAAATTAATTCTTAATATAAATAATTTTCTGGAAAATACGTAATATTAAACTGTAAAATATTAAACATCATCACCATAAGGTCGTCAGTCCTAAGACTGGTTGGACACGCACCTCCACTCTTTCCTATCCTGAGCTAATCTTCGCATTTCCCTAAAACTAGAACAACCCACATCCTTAACTATTTGCGAACAGCAATCTAACCAAGGAAAATAATTTGATAACGTAAATTTAATGATAACTGTGGACTGCGGACAATAATAAATATGTTTGTGAACACCCAACAAAGAACATCTACTAGTAGCTAGGTCTACCGTGGCAATGAAACAAAGAAGTTTGCTGCAGGTTATGTAGTTACATTTTAGCGTTTCCTTCGACTTTTTTCAAAGCCGTTATCCTAATCTTCAACTTGATCTTCTTTTGTTAAAAACACCGTAACCACGATTAATATCGAGTTTAGTACGTGTAATAACTGGTGTTCCTTCCACCAATAATAACTTTATTGCTTCAATCCCTATTTTTATGACGTTCATTATAAACAAAATTTATTGCTGCATTGTTGAGAGTGGTGTCTCGGAACGGGTTGAACCAATTACTTTACCGACTATAAACAGGATATACACGTATATATCTATCAGGTTTAATTGGTCGGGACAGTACCATGGAGGTGCTAACTTAAAATAAAAACCATCAGTACCGATACGGCAAAAACAGTGCACCTGTCGTAATAAAATAAAGATACCAAAAAATATTATTTAACCTCTCCACTGTATTTGCAGTTGCGGAAATCGAAAATTTAACTGTCGGCTATTAGACAGTGTTAAGTTGTCTTACAATTAAATAATTGCTCGATAAAGCAATTTAACAACACCATCTTAACACCGTCAGGCTGTCGGCAGCACAGAAAACCTTAATTTACTGAGTAATTCAAACTGACATTTAAAGACCCTGCACTTCAACAAATCGCGACCCTAGACAAAACTTTTCAGTCTCTTTCCAGTCTCTCACAGTTTTTCAGCGTCTCTGAGAACGTCTCTCAGAGTCTATCACAGTCTCTCAGTTATTGCCTAGGTGTTTTATGGATCTCTCACAGTCTCTGTATGAGAGACTCGAACGATAAAATTGTTAATTCAGAGATTCGAGTCACTCACACAGAGACTGAATGAATAAAACTGAAAAATTGAGAGACTCGAGTCTCTCGTAGAAAGACTGGGAACTCTGAAATATGTTGAACTTGAAAAATTTTAACCATGTCTATCGAGACACCACTAATTGAGAGATTCGAGTCTCTCGTTCAGAGACTGTATACGAAATGAGGATCTTTCTATAAGCGACTCGAGTCTCGCGTTCAGAGATTCGAGTCTCTCGTTCAGAAACTGTATACGAAATGAGGATCTCTCTATGAGCGACTCGAGTCTCTCGTTCAGAGATTCGAGTCGCTCGTTCAGAGACTGGATATGAAATGAGGATCTCTCTATGAGCGACTCGAGTCTATCGTTCAGAGATTCGAGTCTCTCGTTCAGAGACTGGATACGAAATGAGGATCTCTCTATGAGCGACTCAAGTCTCTCGTTCAGAGACGCCAAACAGTTTTTTTGACAGCCTCTCGACAGTCTTTCTCAGCGACACCAGAGAGACGGAGTCTCGAGTCTCGCTTGCAGAGACTCTGAGAGATTGAACGTTTTAATCTCGGGCAATAACCATAAAAATACAACAGGTTTGTGTGTGTCTGTAAAACACTTTCGTTTGACTTCCAATTTGCTAGTGATTTACTACAACCTCAAAATCAATTACCATTTTATCGTCTGACTTTAGTGGTGTTGGACTCGATTGGACAAAGGGCAACAAACAGATTTCTATTGTACCATTATAAGACAATTTAATCTTCAACTTATTATGTAAAATGCACAATTACTTTTACTTTGAATGAAAGAAGAAATTAGTACACCTAATTAACAGAAAGATGTTTTTTGTACTATCTTTTTTCATATGATTACACCTAAAGAGTGATTCTTCTACAGGAACCACGTATGACGACCATAACAGTAGAAATAAACGTTAAAAAAGCAAGTCACTGTTCGTTGATAACCATAATAAAAAAGTCGTGTAACCTGCCAATAATAAAAGCTAATCAATCACTTTATCAATGGTAATACATTGTCCTGGGACACTGCAGGATAACGCTTAAAGTTAGAAATACAACGTTAATTTTGAAAAATTGAATTATTGGTTTCATTAAAGGTATTAATATCGAAAATAGAATATACGTAACCCGGAAATTCAAAATACGCGATACTTTTTGTATATCAAATTGTTGTACTTTCGTTGATGTTTATCACGTGTTAAGGGCATCTACGTAAGCGAAGCTGCGACTAAAAGCTTGTATTGTTAATAAATTTAAAAAATATATGCAGGTATGCGTTTACATTTGGACAAGTCAGCTGTAGTAGTCGTTTAAATAAAATAAGGATTAATTAATTCACCACAGTCTACAATACATGAATATAAATGTAATCGACATAATTCTAATTACACTCACAAACATTATAACGAATAATAACATACATTTATACAAGAACGTCTAATTGAAATGTTTTTAAAATCCGACTCGAGCTTTTATATGAATAACTGTAGCATCAGGCTATTAAGGAAGGGACTGGCAGGTATTTATTACTACGAGTTCGAAGTTGTTCCTTATCGATATTGTAACGACTACCATTGGTTCTTAAAAGTTAAAGTTAATAGGTCATAGTTTATAATGTAACCTTCAAGTTAAATACGAGTGTCCTTAGAAATATGAATCGTAAACAAATTAAAATAATCCCAAAAATTTGTTTAATATACAAAGTTCAGTTAAATTCATCTCAAATAAAAAGCTTCTACGATAAATTCGAAGTTTATAGCACTGTCGAATGTTTTGTAAACGTTGTCATTCCCCGAGGGAAGATGTTTATGTGAAGTAAGTTAAAATTTTAATGTTGAGAAGGGAATGGAAATAATAGAAGAAAGGTCAGTATGGAAGTGAATAAGAAATAGACGAGACAGGTCGGTAGGATGCCTTTTGAAGCATAAAGGGACATTCAAAGACATAATAGAACAGAAACAGGAGTTAAGAGGAGTATAGGTAGAACTAGGTTAAATTAATGTTCACAAATGGTTGAGGATGTAGGATGTTCTACTGTTAGGGAAATACGAAGATTAGCTCAGGATAGGAAAGAGTGGAGGTGCGTGTCCAACTAGTCTCAGGACTGACGACCTTATGATGATGAAGGATGTGGGATGTTCTGGTTTTAGGGAAATTCGAAGATTGGCTCTGGATAGGAAAGAGTGGAGGTGCGTGTCCAACTAGTCTTAGGACTGACGCCCTTATATATGATGATGAAACAATTAATAGAAATAGTTTTACGTGAACGAAGTCCCAGGTGTAAAATATAAAGGAGGGTGTCTACTGCTATCCCCTGGGACAGTTTTTATTTACAATGGGTATTCTCTTTTCCGGTAAAGATCTTTTACATTGATATCAGCTGATGACAGGTAAGACGTTAACGTTATGGTATTCGATTATTATGTTTCTAAATATAAATGGCCAAGTAAAACGAGAAAATTGTACACATATAGCAGACACTCAAGAGCTCATGGGTTTGGTAATCCTCTAGGCCGGTTTTGCCTTGTTATCGTCCGACATGTGGAAGCTAGCATTTCCAATTGTCCTCTACCGAACTTTTTTTAAGGATAAACTGTAATTTGAGGTTTTTGAAAAGTACCCGGATCCTCCATGGGGTTTTAGCACATAAAACCTAAGGAATCTGGTGACGCCAAAATATAAAGCTAAATCCTTCTAAATAAATAAGGCAAAGCAAAAGGAAAAAGCTTTGCAGTGTATTCAGAGGTTAAAGTGGAGGAGCCCTTGACTTTGGTAAACGTTACTGCGTCGGCTTTGCCCAGTTATCATCATCCGAAGGGGAAGATAACATCTCCACTAATACTTGCACTCTACTGTACCTTACCATTCTTCCTCTTTTTTACTTTTTGCGGATTAACTGTAATTTTGAGTTTGTTAGTACAAGTACCTACACGGAATCTTCCCAGGGGGTTTAACCAATTGAAACCTAAGGTAAGCGAAGAATTCAGGGACGCCAAAATATAAAATTGAATCAGTTTGACGATCCCCGTTGTTCATAATTATTGTTTAACTGCGTTCGTCCTCTGGTCATCCTCTAGGTCGACTTTGCCCTGCTATCATCCGAAGACGAAGCTGGACCTCCACCTGTTCCCCACTCTACATTCTTATTCTTCAGTACTACTGCTTCTTGCGGATCGGCCGTACTTCTTGGGCATTTCTGTTTCGGTGCCATCCGCGATCGGTGCACCGTGGCAAGCAAGGCCAAGGCCGTAAAGAGCGCGACACTCACATATTAGCTATTATAGTTATTATTATTGTTCTCACTATTATTACTCTTCGTTGCCATCGCGTGCTAGTGTTTTCTTCTGGGCGCAACTGTTGCCGATTGCTCCTACCGAAGAGTCCGAATCCTTCCGCGATCGAGCAGAGCTTTGACGACTCCGAAAAAAAAAGAATAAACGCAGAGAAAAACAAGCAAAGAAAGGTAAGTGCGAATGGCTTAACAAATACTACGCGAGTTGTTAACACGGCGCCAAAGGAGGTAGCTACTGATGCTCAATGGATAATATCTGATGTAACGGAAACGTTACGTACATTATATCAACTTCTGATGGCTGAAGATTATTTTTAGATTTAACGGAGACATTTTCGTGTATAAAAAATAAGTAAATGAAATGTGAATTTAAAATCGTTGAAATGAAAAAAGTAAATTAATTTTGTGAATTTTTATTTTTCTTATGGAAAAATAACAAAATTTATAAATTTTCGATCATTAAAATTTAATTTCGAACTTTTTTCCAATTATTCTGTAATATTTATCAGTCAGTTTTGATATTATACATTTCGCAAGAACAAAAATCCGTATAGTATAAACTTTCATGGACGAATATTGCGAAAGTAAAACGATAATGTTAAATGAAAACGATGCAAACAATTCTTAAGGATGTATAGAGGGATAGAAGATTGATACATAATTTATATAAAGAGCAACAGGTACAGTTAAAAAATTTGAGCAATATCATAGGGAAATGCATATATTCGGAAGGGAGTTAGACAAGAATGTACGTTGTCATCTCTTCTATTTCATTTGTATGTATTTTAAGATGCGATTAATATTATTAAAGACAGGACATCTTCATGGATAGATAAACTGAGACAACAGATTAGTTAGATTTATCGATTATTTAGCAGTATTTTAACCATCCAGCAAGGAGTTGACTTAGCTTTAAATCAAACAGCTTCTCAAACATGAAGACTACGTTAGAGAGAGGCAAATTATAAGCAAAAACAGGAATTAAAAGGGGTATATGTAGACTAATATTAGATTAGATGAAAAGGAGTGGAGATGTCCAACCAGTTCTCGGACTCAAGACTTTATGATGATGACTTGGAAAATATACCTAATATATGTATACATAGGACTATATGAATCAATTACCCCTACAAATTACAAGTATCCTCTTGCCATGTCGTTGTCTTCTAACCGTTAAAAAGAACACGTGAAACATAGAAAAGTTATTATGGAAAGAATCGCAGAAGCGCCTTGTTGTTTCCGTAATCGGATCAGAAGTCTGGCGTAGTTTGAGATTCTGATAGTTTCGTAATTATGTAGCGCGCATGTTAAGTACGATGGCAAGGCTGACGAGCGTGAAATACTTAATTGCAATTACGTATTTGAAGCGGTCGTCAAAGGAGCAGCTACTTTAAAACTGTACCGGAGTCATAGTTGTAGTTCTAGTCACACGATTTGCAAGTCAACGATCTCCCGCTGACATCGAACTCTTTACAAACTTATACACCATTTCATCCATCCATCCATCGATCCATCCATCCGCCTGTCCGCTCGATCGCAGTCATCGGTGGTGGTGTGGTGACGCGACGCCAAAGGCGGATGATAGGTTTCACTCAATCGCTTTCCTATGGGTCGTCTTCATTTTTTTTTTTTTTTATCAGCTGATATCAATGTAAAAGACCTTTACCGGAAAAGGCAATGTCCATTGTAAATATAAACTGTGACTTCGTTCGCGTAAAAATATTGCTAATTATGAATATTGGAAAAAATTTGGCGGTTGTTGTAGAAAAAACAAAATAGCTCAAAAACCTAAAGCCAAAACACGTCACTGTAGTCGTCCGAAACACTTTTTGGTAACAAGGTTACCTTCTTCAGGGACTTAAGATCACTTCAGTGCTTCGGACAACTACAGTGTCGTGTTTTGGCGTTGCGGTTTTGAGCTATTTTGTTTGTTCTATTTGTAATTGTTTCATCATCATAAGGTCGTCAGTTCTAAGACTGCTTGGGCACGCACCTTCACTCTTTCCTATCCTGAACTAATCTTGGCATTTCCCCAAATCTAGAATAACCCACATATCCTTAACTATTTGCGAACAGTAATCTAATCTAGGTCTACCTCTACTCGTCTTAACTGTTTCTGCCTCTAATATGTCCCTGACTAGACCTCTTCATGCCTGCGAAGGTTTTCTACCAATCTCTTCATATGTAACCTCTGCATTCCTGTCTGACTCCCTTCCTAATATTTACTTCTCCACGTTGCAGTCAAAAATGCAATTGTTATAACCAATAAACAAATAGTTAAGGATGCTCTAATTTAGGACCGAGCGGCATGGCCTAGAGGTCTAGACCATTGCTTAGCATTCGGGAGGACGCCGGTTCGAATCCGGATCCGTCTGCCTTGGTCCAAGTTTTTCTGTGGTTTCACAGATAATCTTTCACTCTCTTCTGTCTTCATTTCGTCCGTCTCATCTTTCTCGCCCGAACCACCACCCACCCATTCCCACGATTCTTGAAAGCAGACTGAAGAGGGCCTTCCGCCTTACCTTCCGGTATAGTCCGGATGGACTGCCCGCCCACCAGCATTACTGGCTGGTGGGAATGAAACACCCAAAAGCTTTTTTTTCTAGTTTAGGAAAATGAGAAGATTAGCTCAGGATAGGAATGAGTGGAGACACTATGATGATGATGAGTGAAAATGCTGTTATTTTGTATTAATAGAACTTATCAGATGATACCCAAAGATCAGTTGTTAATGGCGCATAAAATTAGGTTTCGAGAGCAGTCATATTTTTTTCCGACTACGTAAGTTACGGGAAGCTGTTCTATTGAAACATTTAATTTTCCCACCGAATAAATTTATACCTACTCAATTATTTAAATGAAATCAATGTAACCAACTATTCGTAAAGGCGAACTGTCCCATTTACGAGTTCTTTCACGTCGTAATCTCGCAATAACAATACCCGACGCGATTCAAACTCGTTCATGTGGTATCTATCGAACATTGAAGTTCTAATAACATCGTGACCGACCGAGTTCGCACATAATTTACTCGCCACTCGAAATTTTTCTTTCTCCTTCTCATACAGTATGTGGGAAGCATAATCGAATGAGCTTTTTCTTATTGCAGAACACGGTAGGTGCGTGTTACGTCGCGAATGTAAAGTTCTTGTCGTCGATTGACGCGCCTTCTTAACAATCACGAGCCCGACGTTTCGTCTCCCTTTTCATATAGGTACATATGTTATTATTCACACAAATAAAAGTGATCTGTCAGAAATACTCGACAACCTAGTTGTAGCCATGAGTATATAATGAAAAATTCCCTTTAATTTTTTTAAGTTCATTTTTGATCGAGTGGGAGAAGTTTTACAGTTTCAATGTTGGTGTACTATTTCGTTATTTACAATAAACACATTCCCATAGTTGAATTGCAAATTTGACGGCGCGGCGCCGATTGGACTTAAGAAATCAACAAGGAACTTTTCGATGTACCGCAATAATTGAATGTGGATCAGGTTCTACTTGTTATGTAACGCGAAAATCTCTTTAAATACATCCAAAGAATACGGGATTAAATTATTCACTCTGTGTTGAACGAAAACGGGGCCAGATTTTAACAATTCACAGTGTATAGGTATCTGTAAGTTAACATATAGCAAAGAGAATGTTTGGATTTTGCGTTATTGTTATGCAATCTGCTATTTTTTCAGTATGAGATTTGATTCCAATTAAAGGATAAGTACAAAAAAAGGGTCGAAATCCGTAGGGGTGGTATTGATACTGGGGTGGTTTCCTATTTATTTTCGTTTTTGGAGTTTTTTCCGGTGGAGTGTAAAATATAACAATTATAAAAAAAACTATAAGCCAAAGTTGTAGAGAATATTAACATTAAACAAAAAGTAATAGGAAACCACCCCTATTTCAATACCAGCTCGACAGACTAATTTTTTGGCTCTATACTCAACAAACAGTCCTTCGTCGACCCTGTTAGCAATCATAAACAAATTTTAATTGAATATTTATACACATTTCTTATGAAGTTACTGATACCAAATTGACAAATGGTCAGATAAATATATTTACTTTTGCTCCTGTTAGGATAATATTCTAGTCTGGTGGATAATTATTATAATGTGTTATGAGAAGACTCAGCCAGAGTATATGGTTAAATAAAATACTCATCTCCGTTTCTGTTTTAATTAAATTTTATGTTTACCAGCATGTAGTAATAAATACTTTGGACTATGAGCTTAATAGTCTCATATACATATGTTATTTATTGCATCCGTAATGTGAATAGATAATTGCGTAAGTAAAAATAATAAGTTCTCATAATTTCAATAAAGTGTATATATATAAAAATATATATTTCCACTGAAATTATTAGGCTTTTATGACACACAGAGTCTGATAGAATGCTATTGGTGATATTTAAGAATTCACAATATTATACCTACAGGGTGTTTCTCAAATAAGTAGCAAGTCTTTAAGCGTGTTAACTAGATTAATAGGGAATCGCATGGTTGTAAGAAAACTAGACCAAGTTTCAATCCAAAGCCGCTACTGGGTGTGAATTGGCAACGAATAAAGAAATTGCGATTACAACTAAGCAACTACATCGATGAATAGTGACGGTTGTGAAGAAATACTCGGTGCAGGTGGTTGAATGCGGCGTTGCATTTTCCTGCGTGATCCTACCAGGGCCGGACTGTACTTTCTATTACGTTTTTCTCGAAAACGGTGGACTTTCGGGCCACTAAAGATTCACTTAATTTTATTGTTTTATAGCGCCCTATCAGCTTCTGCAAGCTTGCTGCTTATTTTACAAATACCTGTCCAATAAAACCAACCAAATTTCGACGAGCAAAATCACTCCTCATTATCACAAAAATCCAGGTTGAAATTGAAGTGAAAATACTTAATAAAACTTAACCTCACTTGTAAAAGAAACGCACCTACGACAGAAGCGATTCTAAATTATCTGAGCTGTCGTGTAAGGGAAACACGATTATAATTGTTTATAAATAGATAGATATTATTATTATTATTATATGTATTTATACCGGCTAAATAAATACAAACGTAAACAGAATTGTAATTTCCGCCGCAAGCACATTGTTTGTTAGAAAATACCCAATTGAATGATGAAATTGTTTTGTTCATTAGAAGAATTTGTTCTCGAGTACTAA